GTGTATAAGTGAATTTACGTATGATTTTTTTGTATAAGATTAACAAATGAATTTGTGCGCAAAATTTGAAAATCTAATATGTTAGCAGCTATTTGTTTATATGATATTTTGTTTAAGCGCTTTTCTTTTCTTTTTTTTTCGGCTAAACAGTATTATTGATATCCAAAAGAAGCAAGTTTACAAAGTCATTACAGAACTTACAAAAACAAATTATTGCATTAGCAGAAATATGCGCCATCTCCTAAAGACGATATAAACTAAGAAGTGAAATTGACGATGCGTTTAAAGCCTTACTCGCTAACGTGTTATTGAACCCGCTATGTTCTTCCTTAGTAATCGAACTTATTATGCGAAAATTGTGCATGGCCATCTTCTCTTTGTAGGCACTCTAAATTGCACATCGCATTACAAAATCCAATGCTTTCGATAGTAGCTCCGAACATTTGACAATTTGATACCAATCATTCCGTATCAAAATCATTTTACAAAATACTGACTGTGGTTTCCTCTTCAATTGATCCCAATAAAAAGCAAATCTTATGATAAATCATTTAGCAATTTATCTTAATAATAGAAAATTTATTATCATTCATTATACATTTTTTTTCAAGTACGAGATTTTTTTTTTTATAATTGTTATCTTTATTCAAATTTTCTTATCAAATACAACATTTTTTTTATAATTCCAAATCAATAACCGAAAGAAAATGCATTCAAATTAAAATACCCATCCTTAAACTTGAACATTAACAAATCTTGAAAAATATTAAAAAATCTTCAACCAGTGTGAAGATAAATCTTCAAATTCTTCGAAGCTATCTTGGTCACCTTCCACAAAGACTCAGCAACAACAAAAGCAGAAGTCCTTTGACTCTCCACCACTCCAATCGGCAAATAAAGCTCAACCCTTTCCAACACAAGACCACACCGGATCAGAAACTGCAACACATATACCTCGTACAAGCCACCTCTAAAGTTCCTCAACTCCACAACTTTGAGCGTTTTCTTTAAACACCTATGGCTGATTGGATACTCCCAATAAGTTTCCGGATCGAATTCGATCTCAAAATCCGTCGGTAAGACATGCCTAGGATCAACCATTTGCAAAGTGAGAGTCTCCAAATCAGGACAACTATTGATCATAACCTTTATCCCAATGAACTCATGTGGAAGCATATTTGTTTTCATTACCAAATGTCTTGTTTCCATGGATGCTTGTAATCGAACCGGATCATACTCTTGAATCAATTGGATGATAAAGGGACATATGGTTAATCTTTTGGCGGATAAAAGATCGTAAAGGAGACCACAAAGAAGTTCTCCTGTTTCTCCTTCTTGGCACTCTGTCTCCACACCAAAATCTAAGTATGCTTCTTTCATTACCCTATTCACTCCTACGAACTGAAAGTAATGAAACCTACCTGAGTACTTGAAGATCTGAATGTTGGGCAAGTCGAGTGTTGTATAATCCACGGCGAAATCGCAATTCTCGAATACCAATTCTCTTAACCGGTTGTTATTTTCGGTTATCTTTTCGAGACCAACGTCCCAACAGTTTTGAATGCTTAGACTCTCGAGAAGAGGACACTTTAGTATCAAAGACATGATGTCTCTGAGTTGGATCCAACCAAAAGAGAGAGTTTTTAGTGAACCTGTTTTCGCGAGCCTTGATGGATCAAACCCGCAAGCGAATAGCTTCAGTGACTCGAGGTTCATTTGATTGTAAAAGCTTCCCGGAAATTGAAAGACTCTTGTTTCTGCTTCAATCTTGGTAATCCAAGAAGGGTATGAGAAATCAAGATCTAGATTCTTGACGTGATTTGAGACCGCGAAATTGATCAGCGACATGACCTCTGTTGTGATATCAACCGGTTTAGATAGATAAAGTTTAAAACTTTTGATCTCTTCACCGGTAAAATTTGCAACCCATTTAAGCATGTAGTGAACGAACGAAGTCCTAGCGACGCTTTTAGTTTGTTCATCGTCTGAAAATTTCACGAATTCGGACTCCTTGAAAGCAATGTTGGTCATTTTGTGGCAGAGACTCTCCCAGCGCTTTGAGACAAGACTCAATTTCATAGCTTCCTTGAATGGCAAGCTAGAGATGATCATAAAGAGAATCAAATCAGGTAAGCTCTCTTGGCTTCTTCTAGGATTCATTGTTTGTGGTTTTGGAAAAGAAAGGATTCAAAGAAGATTGGTTTTGATCAAAGATGTTTAAAAAAAATGTATTAGCAAGTAAGTTGGCGCGCGAGATATGTTTTCTTGATTTCTTAACAAGTGAATTTACGTGCGAGATTTAAATACACAATATATTATTCTAGCAATAAATGATCATAAATTTATTGTTCTATTTTTTCAAAATTACATGTAAAATTTTTGGCAAGTAAAATGGTCAAAAAATTAGAATCTACTTTTAATATATTGACATAGATCGACATAGCAAATGATATGGTCAAAATTAGATTTTATTTTTAATAAGTTGATATAATTATGAATTTATATGCAATAGCCTAAAATTAACTATTTCTAATATATTGACATAAATCGACAAATTATATGGTCAAAATTAGATTTTGTTTTTAATAAGTTGACATAATTATGATATGCAAAAAATTTATCTTAAAATTAACTTCTTTTTAGTTACACTATTGTCATATAGTTACATATAAAGTAAAAGTTTATTGTCATTTACTATGTGTACTTTTCTTTCTTGAGTAAATAGATCTATGGTTGACTAAATAAGTATTAAACCAATTGAAGAGATAGATAAAGAACTACAAAAAAAAAATCACAAATATTGTTTAAAGAACAAATGACAGATAAATCTTATTAATTGAGAGGAGATTTGGTTTATTAAATGGACAATATCATTTATTTTAATAAATATCAAAGAGCTGGAAAATCATGTAATCGAAGCCAAAACTTTCAAATAGGTGTGTTATTTTTAGAGGGTACTATTTTGAAAGAATTACTAATTTTAATTTGTTAAGACTAGCTTACAGATGACTGTACTAATTTTATTTATCTGAGCCAGGATTAAAAACTAAAAACAAATATGGAAACATGATTGGATCAATGTTTCATTATCTTTATATGGTTTTTTTTTTGGTATAGAGAAAAGGATTTAGTCAAATATGTAACAAGGACATTGATTGCTTCATTTTAGACTTAATTTTGGTTTAAAGGAAATTCAATTCTGGATAAGTTTGTTTGATTACATCAGTTAGCATTTGATTGACTCTGCCAGAAAAAAAAAATTATAATTTTGTTAAAATGATATATACCTTTTAACACTTTTTAACTATAAAATTAATTATTCAATAGTTTGGTTTTGTATCCTTTTAACCCCCCTAAATAAATTTAACATTATCGTAAGCTACAACTATAGTTTCAAAAGAGTGACTTTGTTAGTTCCTTTGTTTTGCTCCCTCCTTTGGATTTATTTGAAGAATATCCACTTACTTAAAGTTAGTGGTGTAACAGAAATGTTAGTGTCAAAACTGGATATATTGAATATTGAGTATATAGATGAGGCATATAATTGACTATATCAGAGAGCTATATCCAGTTTCTAGTTAGCTGAATACAAACTACAAAACCCTAACATAATTTCAGAGGCCTATAAAGATAAAACAAACAAGGCAATGACGATGACAAAAGAAGAAAAATAACTAAAAGAAAAATTAAAAAAGATATCGAGAAGAAAAATAAACAAAGATCGAATATTTTTTTTATATAAATAAAAAATTATATTATTAGATACTAAAACTAATTTTAATTTCCTAAAAATTTTCAAATTCGCACACGGTGGGGGAAGTCACCTAGTATATCATTAAGATGAAGACATGCCAATTTTAGTCATTTAGATATTTAATACATGCAAACTAACCAAACAAATAAAAATACATGAAACATTTAGATAAAGTATCATGTACAAACGAAATGTAGTTAACTATATTTGATTAAATAAATAATTATTACAACAAAAATTTCAACTATGTTTTAAAAAATATTTAACTATATTTTTAATTAGAAACTATTTTCTAAAAAAAAAAGCTAACTATCTTTTGAGAAACAAACAATCATTAATTTACATCATATATAATTTTACATCATTAATTAAAATCCTTAGTAACCGGAAATTCAAAAATATTTGAAAAGAAAGGAACTAAAGAGAGACGAAGACAACTACGACAAAAAAAAAAGAACAGAGACAACTACGCCAACGACTATCTCTCTCTCTGGTTTTTTTTGCCAATGTTGGATTTTCGAGACGGTTTGTGTTGGCGGCAGAAGAGATAGTGTTGTGTAGGGTTTAGGGCTCTTGAAAAAATTGTTTTGCTTTTTTGGTGTCAGTTTAGTAGGGTTTATGCTGTGAGTACAGTTTGGAGATTCTTCGTTGTTTGGGTCGAGTTTATGTGGCTGATTAGCCGGAGAAATGCTTATTCGAAACCATTTTCCGGGACTTGGAACAAATTTAGAAACACTCAAATTTTTGAGAAAATTATTAGCTGATTATGATCTTGAAGAAGGAGAAATGGATTGTTCTTCCAACATTGTAATTAAAATACCACACAAAAACATCTTCATTGGAAGAACAATTCATCTCTCCTTCTTAAGATCATAATCAGCTAATAATTTCCTCAAAAATTCGAGTGTTTCAATTTTTTCCAAGTCCCGAAAAATGGTTTCGAATTAGCATTTCTCCGGCCAATCATCCACATAAACTCGATTCCAAACAACGAAGAAGCTCCAAACTAAGTACCCAGACCATAAACCCTACTAAACTCATCCAAAAAAAAACAAAACAATTTTTTCAAGAGCCCTAAACCTTACACAACACCATCTCATCTGCCGCCAACACAAACCGTCTCGAAAATCCAACATTGGCAAAAAAAAACTCTCTCAAACAAACACAAACTCCAATTCGGGAACAACAGTTTTTGATTTGTTAAAATCGCGAAATTAATCGCTTAATCCAGAGATAGAGAGAGATGTAGGAACTCAAATTACTACACTTGGACAAACTGATATTTGTAAAATAAAATACATAAATAGACCGATATTACAATAAAATTACCGATACATGAATTAGGATAAGAACGAATATGCAGAGGCGAGATACGATCTCTATCCTTAATTTTGAAAACGCCTCGTAGTGTGACGGTTGTATGAGGTTCCGAATCCCATGATACAACTACAATCAACTCTGTTTTGCACAACTCAAGAATAAAATCACACGAACGCTAGAATTTGTGTTATACTCTCAGACAC